CCCGAAAAATTCTTAGACCGGACCGGGAATTGAACCCAGCCACCTCCAGCATGGTCTTGATTTGTAGCTGCGCCTTTACCGACTGAGCTAAGGAACTCAGACCAGCAGTTCACTTATAGATCGAACTACGAAATGTAGGTTCTAGCGTGAGCTCAAGAAAAAGAGGCTGTTAATATTCATCATCCTCTATAGTCGGACTTCAACAATGCTCTCCACCGGTTCCAACTCTTTCCGGCCGCTGATAGACCGTTGCTTTTCACATCACGAAAGGCTAGGTTTCTGGTCTGCCTTTGAGGGCATTATAAAACCCTAAAACACAGGACTTTTATCATTCTATGAACATAAAACACCCAACATTCGCACACCCGCCACTTCCCGCGTCATCCGCAATTCGATTTATCCTTGCGATTTCAAACCAAAATGTTCAAGGTGTCAGAAATACCGGGTTGCCGGGACGGGTATTTTACAAACAATCGCAGCTTGCTCTATGACCGGCACAATCGGCACACCTGCGGCACACTGACAAATAAGATGACCCAAGATTTGTGTGCGGTCTTGATACGGTCTTTTTTCGAGACAATGTTGTGTCAGTGGCGTCCCGTAACCTCACTTTTTACCTGTGCACCACCTTTCAAAACCAGATTTAATGCCATATTCATACTCGAATCGGTTGAAAAATACATTTGATCTTCTAGTTTACTCAATATCTATCCATTGCAAGCAATATTTGATAGTTGTTTATGTTTTGAGCGTTTGTGCACAGGTAGATTGAGGTTAAGGAAACGCCACTGAATGTTGTACATGGTCGGTTTGAAAAATTCGATGGCAACTTTTCGCCCATACATTTTATTGGCACCCTAATAAACATCGCTGAGGTTAAAGAGTTCAACTTCAGATGCTGTATGGACCACATTAATATAACTTAAAAATGCATATCCGGAGAACTACGAGATTTGGGCGTAATTGCTTTCGTAAACAAATACACGTCAATCGCCGATTTCTCGCGTACAAAAGCTCAATCTCGCGAACAAACTGTACCAAATGATGGAGGAATCAATCCTCTATCGGATTGTGTTGTTTGTTTTGCAGGCTGAGCTTTTATTCGCAAGAAATCGGTGATCGAAATGTTAATGTTTCAGTCGGCTGGTTCGGAATCACACCGACATTTGGCTCGCCTGGGGACGTGACTGAAGCTTCTTCGCACAAATTATCGTAGGAACTCTTCTTGGTAAAGGTTCTTGATTTTTTTATTTAACCTATAAACGGAGAATCAAACACAGTGATAATTATAATAGTACAAATTGCCCAGCCGTTACCAGTAAACTTGAATTGTACAAACGTGAGATTTAAGAAATACAGTGAACTCTCTACAACTCGATATTGAAGGGAGAATCACAGTAGCCATGAAGTTCATTTTTACTATGGTTCTATAACTCGATATCGAGTTTGTAGCAAGGCCCCACAAATTCACTTACAATCGAACATCAAAGCTGTTAACCATCACTTTCAATTGACATCAACAGGACCACTTTTGATCAGTTTTCATGCTGTTTGTTTTGGCTTGACTCGTGTTCATTTCTTCTTTCATTGTCAAATGAACTTTCTTTTGCATTGAAGCGAAGCTGTTCGTTCCAAATTCGCGCAGTTTTTATGACTTTTGTTGATTGTTCACTCGGTTCATTTAAGGGGGATTTCCTTTTCAATATTTAAAAAAAAAATCGATTTTTTTTGCATGAAATCAAAGCTAAACATGTCTAGAATATGTGGGTAAAAGGATATTTCGATCCGGCAAATATTTACGTCGCTACAGGCCTTTGAGTGCATCGACCTCCCGAGCGGTATGGAATGTTTCGCAAACTTTAAACGCGTTTTTTCTCGAAACTACATTTTTCAAAACTGCGAGCACTCTAGCTTTTGAACGGTTCAACCAATTGACTTCGTTCTTTGCTTCCCTTATTGAAAACACTTTTCTTCATGGAATGAACTATAGACTCAAGGAGAAATGTGCAATTTTCGATTTTTCACAGCCTGTCAAAGTCAAAAAATCGACAAAGAAAAACGACTTTTTTTTTCAAATGCCCGCCATTTTGTCAAATTTTGAGATTTTTCAAAGATTCTAGTTCATTCCATTCTCTGAACTATATTCTTCAAGAAACTGAGCCGATTTTCTTTCTAGGTGACGATTTGCGACCTCTAGGCTGCTCGCAGTTTTGGGAAGTACCCGCCGGGCGGCCGCCATTTTGGATTTTTGGACTTGAAAAAATTCCCAGTTGTAGAGCAAGAATGAATAAAGATTTGACAAAAAACTCAGGTCTCTAACTCTTACCAGTTCCCTGGAAAAAAAATCCAAAGTTTAGGTCAATTGAACCGGAAATCCCCCTTAAGCGTATGCGCATAGATCTATGCACGTGGATGTCAAATTTATCATTGTCGGGTGGTTTGTTTACCCATCAATATGGGTATTTTTTTAATCGGGGTGACGTCTAGAGATCGAAAATTGATATGCAACGCCATTTTTAAATCCAAGATGGCGGCTTCCAGTTTAATAAAAATTGGGAAATACGGTCAAATACCCCGGAATCGGGATAGCGTCTAGAGGCCGGAAATCGATATCCGACGCCATTTTGAAATCCAAGACGAGGACTTCCGATTTGCGGAAAAGTGTCAAAGACCCTAAAATATGGTTATTTTCAGAATGAGGATGAGACGTAGATGCTGAAAATTGATGTAACACCGTCTTTAAATCCAATATGGCAGCTTTGGTTCAGAGAAACGTTGGTTTTTTGGAATCGGGGTGACATCTAGAAGCCATAAATCGATGTCCGACGCCATCTTGAAATTCAAGATGGAAGCTTCCGATTTCAGAAGAAGTGTCAAATGACCTGCGAATGGCATCGAATATCGATTTTCAGCATCTACGCGCCGTAGGAATCGGAAAGGTCCTTGTTCCGAAAAATACCTTGATATTAGGGTATTTGACACTTTTTATGAAACCTGATGGATTCCAAAATGGCATCGGATATCGATTTTCGGCATCTACACGTTGTTCCCGTTCCGAGAATAACCATATTGTAGGGTATTAGACACTTTTTTCGAAACCCGATGGCCGCCATATTTGAGTCCAACATAGCGTTGGATATCGATTTTCGGCATCCACGCGTTGTCTCCGTTCCGAAAATACCCATATCTTAGGGTATTTGACATGTTTTATGAAACTTGATGGCCACCATCTTGGATTCCAAATGGCGTCGAATATCGATTTTTGACATCTACGCGTTGTCTCCGTTCCGAAAATTCCCCTTATCTTAGGGTATTTTACACTTCCGAAAACCAATTGTCACTATTTTGAATTCCAAAATGGCGTCGGGTATCGATTTTCAGCATCTACGTGCCATCCCCGTTCCGAAAATATCTAGGAAAATATCCTATTGTAGGGTATTTGAGACTTTTCCTGTCCCCGATGGCCGCCATCTTGGACTCCAGAATCGTTTCGTTAGTTTAATTTTCGTTTAACATAAAATAATATATTATTTCTACATATAATCCGGATGCCATCCCTATCGGCAACCGATATTGTGCGCGGATACTATATTTTTATGCTTGACGACGCGATGCGTGACAAGTCGAATGAGCCCGAATTGAAGTGAAAGTGGAAACAAACGAAGGAAGCGGTTTTCGAGTCATTCATTGCGTCAATTGAAACAAGTCTTTGCTTCAAATAAAATGAACTGAAGCACTTGACGAACGAAACAAGCGATAGTTAAGTCATGTTTGAAAGGAGGAATGTTCATCGTGACTCGATAACAAGAAACACAATGACTTACACGAAAATGATATTGCTCGAAATGAATCGATTCTGCGGAGAGTTCATTTTCTTTTCTTTGTTTCGAAAATGCATAGCCCTGGTTAGAAGAGATCGAGTTGTGGAGAGTTGACTGTATTTGATAAATATATTGATCTGAAAAATCGGGAAAAACCGCTATTTCAAAAAGCAAATTAAGCTAGGTTTTATCTTTAGATCCATAGGCCAACATTAGAGCCATTTCTCCTATTTCGAAAATCTATTCTTAAAACTGAGTTTTGATTTTGTTGATGATTTCCGAAAATTGTACAGAGGTAACACATTTCGAACGCAAAGAGTGGAATAAGGAGTTCCATTGCTCTATTTGCCACACCAAACTGTTTATAGCGCATAAGCCAATCGAAACAAAGCACCGGAAGCGTTAAAAGCGAACCAAAAATCCAGAGTTAATAAAAGACATTTTGCAAATGCTCTCCTCGGTCGAGCCAAGAATTCGAGCCGGACTTTCCCCCGTTGTCTCGAAGCACCCCTTCTTCTTCTACACCTATCTATTCCGTACTTCTTCTGTACTGACCTCCGGACCCTGTGTGTGTCTGCTTTCAATCCACGACAGGCCGGCCTGGCTGCGGCCATGTCCACCGTGAAGCTCGGCGTGCTCCGGACGCCTGATCAGCACCGTTCGGAAGAATTCATCCGGCGCCAAAGCTGGGAAACGGGCAACGCAGACTACGCCGGACGGGACGCCTTCCAGCACATCTTAACTCGCATCCAGAGAACGATGGACGATTGATTTAGGCTTTAGATTCTCGAACAAAAAAAAATACGCGCAGATACTCAACTCTTTGTTTGTTCTACTCAATTTACTCTTTTATCCATGGTTTGTTATAGCATTTTTGTACTGATTTTTTTTTTGGTGAATAGTTGTAAACGGTATAGTTTTTCTTTGTTTTGTCTTTAGCTGTAATAAATGGTGTTTTGAAGCAAGCAAAAGCGAAAACCGATTGTCATCCTATTTTATCACACTTTGACTGGCGAATAGAGAAGAATAGTGCACTAATCCGCCGGCTTTGAGTTTGACTGATTCCCTTCATTCCTAGTAGAAAATTAAAAAAAAAAAATCACATGCACACATCTCCCCAACTGCTTAATTTTCGTGTTTGTGCCTAAGAATTTTGTTCCCACCTCGTTTCCACAACAGCAACAAACATTCAGTAACTGGATCAAACCAAGCAAGGTCAGTCCTAGTAATAATGCGTACCGATCGTCCGGTACCGGAAGCTTCTATACTGGCGATCACCACGACGGAGGCGGCGGTCATTTTGGTGGCGGTGAAGGGACCGATCATAATGGTAATAGTAACACTAGTAGTAGCGCGGCAACAGGTGCGTACCATCCGCATTGGGAAGATTTTGTTCCCAGCTATGATGCGACGATCGAGTACGTCGACCCCTGGGAGGAATTCCTCCGGCGGCAGGACGAAGAGCGCGATCGTCTTGCCCGCGAACAGGAAAGGTTGTACTATCAGTATCTTGACAACCAACGGTTGCAGGAACAACAACAGCAGCAACATGATCACCAACATCATCATCATAATCATCATCATCATGGTCATGATCATCACGATCATCACGGTCACCAGCAAGATGCTAATGTTTTTCAGAACACAGAACAGTGGGTAGATCACGCGCACCGGCACGATCACAGTGGTCACTGGGATCCCCAACCGGCGGCACCACCCGGTACGTGGCAACCGGAGAGTGTACGGCATGATGGAGGTGGCGGTGGCGATGGACACCAGCACGATCATCACCATCAACATCATCAACAGCACCAGGAACAGATTGCTCCTCAGTCACAGCAACAGCAGCACCAGGTTGATCATTCCTCTGGTACGGGTGGTGAAGAGGTGAAACATGATCATGGTGGTGAAGAGGTGAAACATGATCATGGTGGAGGAGGTAGTGGTGATAGTGGTGGAAGTGGTGAACAACATCACCAACACTGGCAACAGCAACAACACCAGCAGGAACATCACCACCAAGAACACCATCAAGAACATCAGGCGCAAGGTGGCGGTGATGGGGTAGGTAATCCGTTTCCGTCTTGCCAAACATACGCCGCTGCGACGGGAACGAAACTAACCAAAATGAAAAAAAAATGCACAATCGCTTTGCCACTAACCAAGGATCCGTTTCCGTTTTAACACACTCTAAATCACATACCAAGACACATTTAGTTACCTTTTTTTTTGCATGGTTATTTGGGTTTTTTCGATTAAGAAATTGATCGCTGTTGATATCCAGTTTTTCTTGATTTTGGCGCGCGAGTTTCCTAACCTCTGCATGCATGTGTATCGTTCGTCCACATATCAGACTGACGGGATCAAAAAACAAACAGAAAAACATTGTTTTAACATGGATTTGATTTTTTGTTTTTCGATCATCGATGCTCTCGTAGTAACCGGAGGTAGGAGAAAAGTATGAATAGAGCAATAATAGTCTAAAGTTTGTTCCACTTTCCTTGTTCCCTTTACTCTTTAGTGTGTATTGTTCAAAATTTTGACTCAATGAATTTTTTTCCTATCCAGTTTTCGACCTTCGGTGTACACGAATTAGAGAAGATAGTTGAGGAAGATGCAGAAATGGGGTAGCATTTTAGGTCATGTAGAAAAATACGCTACAAGGAGGGAGCATAACTGGTGCTACATGAAACGAAGAAAACCGTTAAACTTGTGGCGTTTTTTTTCTACACGGCTGGTCACCCTAAAATGCTACGTCATTTTTGCATCTTCCCTTAGAGTTTTGATTGGTAGTTTTTTTTTGAAATCACATCTGCATTCAGTAATTTGGTTTGATTGGTGTCTTCCTAGGGGATCTATTGAGTGTGAACAATAACGGAATGGAGTGTATACCGATGAAAATATGTTGTAGTTTTACACTCCTACTATGTGAACGATAATTTCTTTTCCCAATGTTATAAGACGGAAACCTTATATCTAGTCTAAGTTATGACAAACAATGAAAACATATTGTCACATTAGCACCACCTGGTGAGTTAATTTTGAGCTAAACTCTTTACCATAAAATAGGTCTTGTCCATCTGAACAACTTTGCCGAAGACGGGAACCTTCTATCTAGTTTTTTTTTAGTTTTAGTTTTGACGGGAACTTTCTATCTAGTTTTCTAGTTTGCGATGATGTTAGAACTTTGTTGTGGAGATATTTGAAAACAGTTTTCCAGTCGCGTTGTACAGCCGATACAAATCCAGGATCCGGTTTCAGCGTCAGAAAGTGAAGATATAATCCTTGGGATGATGGGGTGTTTCTCAATTGATCCGGTAAGTGAGGCAGTTCCGCCTTCAGTATAGTTACGTGGTTGAAAATTGCTGGTATTGTAGTGTTTGGATTCTCCAGGAAGCTGCTCAATAGTGGAAGTTGCTGTGCGAAATTCATCATCCGATTTACAAGCAGAGCTTTCGCTTTTGTTTCTGGACAATGTAGGTTTAGACCTCCTCTAGATTTTGGGAGAATTAGATTTGCAAAAGCTATTCTTTGCAAGGATTGGCCGTGCCAAATGAATTTCCCGATCTCTGCCTTTATTTTTGTAGCAAATCCCTTTGTTTATTAATTTATTTGATAAGGCTCAACCGAATTAACTTTACAGAGCCGAGGATTCTTGGTCACTTTACAATACATCTTAAAACTATAGTCAAAAGGTACAATACAATAAACACTTTATCTTCCGCTAAAGGGTGTCCACGATGAAATTGCCACACACAAAATTGATTCGCAAAATTCGAGTTTTCATCCGATTGCCATCAAATTTTCAGGGATTGAGAAATAACTATTAAACTTCATTTTACCATTTTACTCGTATTTTATTTACAGTCCATACGCAAATGCCCGCACCTTGGCCTTAACCCCGGCCATAAGATTCTGCACAACCTGTGAATCAACCGTTTTTTGCATGTAAACCCATACTTTCTTCAGTTCCTCGACTGTCTTCACTACCTTAGGTCGTTTAAGAAGGTGCTGCTTCATAATCGCCCAGTACTTCTCGATGGGGCGGAGCTCCGGAGTGTTGGGAGGGTTGAACATTTTCGGCACGAAATTGACCTTATTGTCCGCATACCACTTCAGCACGTCCTTGGAGTAGTGGCATTAGGCCAAATCCGGCCAGAAGATTGTTGGGACGTTGTGGGCCTTCAGGAGAGGAAGCAGCCGCTTCTAGAGGCACTCTTTTATGTACACCTGTCCGTTCATCGTGTCCTGGGTCACGAAAGGTGCATTCCGCTTCCCGCACGTGCAGATGGCTTGCCAAACCAGGAATTTCTTCGCAAATTTGGACATCTTCTGAGTGCGGACATGCTCCGGAACGCTGAACTTATCCTTGGCCGTGAAAAACAGGTTGCCGGGGATCTGTTTGAAGTCGGCCTTCACATATGTTTCGTCGTCCATGATGCAGCATTCAACTTTCGTCAACATGTTGAGGTACAACTTCCTGGCACGGGTTTTGGTGGACTTGTTCTGCTTCTCGTCGCGATTAGGGGCCTTTTGTACCTTGAACGTTCGAAGCCCAGCTTTAGTTTTGGCCTTCTGGACAAAACTTCGGCTTAGGTGCAGCTTCTTAGCCACATCCCTAACGGAGGCGTTCGGATTTCGGTTGAAGGCCCCAACTACGCGGTTGTGATTTTTGGTGTTGTACGGAATACTTTTTCCTTCACTTCTGGGCTTCCGATCGGTGGTCAACCGTTCCTCGAACCGCTTAATCACTCGCGACACCGTGGAATTCGCGATTCCCAACGTTTTAGCGATGGAACGATGCGAGAGATCCTTGTTCTCGTGATGAATGCGCAAGATTTTATCACGCACGAGCTGTTCTTTCGACTCCATTTCCGCGAGTTTTGATCACAGGACTTTAAAACTTGCAGGATGTAAATAATGCACTATGAACTAAATCCACCCAAATTTTTATTAAATTCTACCCAACGGTTAAAAAGTTAGAGCAATTTCATAGTGTGGCAATTTCATCGTGGACACCCTTTATCCAAAAAGCCTCCTCCATCAGAACTGGAGCCGCTTCCAGTAGTTTCATTGTATGGCAAATTGTTGTACGCCAACGAGGGTCAGAGCGCGTCCATTGCAACAATGGACGCAAAACGTGGTCAGCACTCACACACTCATCACGAAACGGTTGCTTTCCAAAGTCGACGACGCATCGACCGAAAGAACAACTGATGAAGAACAATGAGGAGGACCACACAATGGTTGCTGCCGAGAAAACAGACGATCGCGTAGCACACATCGAGAGTGGCCTGCTTTTGTCGACAGCCGAGTGAACACTGAGCAAATCCCTTTGTGAGTGGTATATTTGAGGCCATATACCAGAGTTTTGAGTTTATGTATGTGTTCATCAAAATGATTTTCTGTAGCAGGTTCAGCTTCCTCGGGTGGTGAAACCAGAGTCGGGTTCGGAGTCCGTTGAGAACGGACTGCCAGTTTAGTTTCTGTGCTTGTTTAATATTTTCTCCGTAGCGTACACCGAGAATGTTAACAAAGTTTTCAATATTTAACCATTCCGTGTCTGAGGTGAGGTTGACGTTTCCAATTATAACTGCTACAGTTTTCTGTTTATTTAATATAGACCCAGAAAATAATCCAAACTCATTTACCACTTGAACTACTACTTGTTCATTGTCCAGAAACATGGAGATGTCGTCTGCATAGGCGTTAATCACAGAACTAGGAAATCTTTGTGAGAGTACATCTAGCAGCGGTTGCAGGTATACAACAAAAAGGTGCATTGAAAGCGGGTCACCTTGTCGTACTGAACGATTGATTTTAAATTCCGGTGTCAAATGACCGTTGACCAAAATTTTTGAGAACGATTGATTCCAAATCGTGACGAGTAGGTTTACAAAACTGGGGTTGAAATTCATTCGATTCAAAGTTAGCTTCAAGAATTGATGATTTACGCGATCAAATGCATGATCTAGATCGAAAGACACTAACCGTGCGCTTCTACGAAAAATTTTTAATTGACAAATTTTATCGTAGATGCTATTTGTTCCTTCAAAAATAGATCTTCCTCCGTTTGAGCATTTCTGGTTGTCTGACAATACTAGCGGAAGCAAACAATTCATCCTTTGTTTGAGGATTCTAGCTAAGATTTTATAATCGAAGTTTAAGAGTGAAATTGGCCGATACCCCTTTTCACTTTTGTCATTTCCTTTCTTTTTAACTAGCACCAAGATTCCATCATAGAATTGTTTTGTCGCACTCCCTTGTAATGCATCATTGATGACATTAGTGAACTCGTGTCCAATTATCCTCCATGCCTTTAGAAAAAATTCTTTTGGTAGCCCATCGGCACCCGGCGATTTTCGAGAGCAGCTGCCTTTAATTGCTGCTAGAACTTCGTTTTGGGTTGCTTCTTGCATCAGGTTTTCATTTGCAGGGTTATCTTCAGGGATTGCTCTGGCTGGTATAAAGTCAACAGGATGTTCAGCGTCTACTGAAGAGTATAAGGTCTCGAAATAGCATCTAATTTTCTCTTTTATTTGGGTTTGATCCCGAACTTCGGTGCCATCTTCTGTCTGCAGCATCGAAATAGAGGTTTTTGATTTTTTACTATGGATTTGAGCAACATGGAACAAAGTTGTTGATTCTCCGGAGATAAAAGTTTCATTACTTTTTCGAAAATTTGTTGAAAATTTGTTTTGCAGACGAAGCATTTGAGCTTTGATGTGATTGATCGTCGCAAGCTGCATTTGATTGCCATGATAGTTATCATATGCTTCTTTTAAGAGGCAACGATAAAGCTCTATCGCATCTTTGAACTCTCGGTGAATGATAGAAGTTTTCCATTTCATAAACGAGATTACCTTAGGCTTTGCATGTAAAATCCACCATTCCATCCACGAACAATAATATCGTCTTGCTCGTACCCAGTAAGCCCACTTTCTAGATAGTTCGTTTATGACTTCCATATCATCTAGCACATGTGGTTGGAGACGCCAAATACCACGCCCAGCAGGAGTTCCTAAGTGCGGAAGGACAATACGCACAATGTACGCTTTGTGATC